TACGAGGAAGGGGGGGTCGATGGGACGGTTTGCGGGGGCTGTGTGTGTGTGGGGGGGGGGTCCCGGCACAGCCCCATCTCCCCTCCCATCGGTACCAGTTCCCCCCCCCCCGCTTCGTTTGCGCATTTGCTTGTCTGCAAAGAGGGGGCAGGGGAAGAGGAGGGATGGCGAGCAAGGGAAAAAAAAAAAAAAAAAAAAAAAAAAGAAATCAATTGCTATTTTTCATCTTTGACAAAGTAATTAAGACGGAGGCACTTGTTTGGCCGGCCCTGCTTCCGCGGTCGGGGCGGGGGGGGGTGTCACCGCAAGCAGGCAGACCCCGGGGGGGCTGTTTTAGGGAAGGGAGAGGGGGTCTTCCCTTTTTTTGGGAAGACCACGAGTGTTCCCCTCCACCTCCCCGGAGCAGCCGCTGTCCCTCCCAGCGGTGGCGTGGGCGACCCCCGTGGGGGGGCTGTGTCGGTGGCCACGGCTTTGGGAAGCCGGCAGGGACCCCTCCAGGCAGGGCAGGCTTATGTCGGGGGTGGGTGAACCCCCCCCAAGGGTGGGAGAGGTGTGTTGGGTGCGAGCTGCAGCCGGGTGCTTTTCCCTAATCCCTTAGGGATGTGCTTGGGAAGGGGCGGCTCGCCTCTGGGACGGGCGTTTGGGAGGGACCGTGAGAAACCGAAAAGGAGCTCAGCAAAATCATTTTAATGAACTTACTGACGATTAACTGGGACGTTAAAACCCCACGTTGGAGGGATTTTAGTTTTTGAAAGGAACCGTAATTCCAAACTAGGAGTTTCGACCAAGGGCAGGTGGCTGCAGCTGAAGCCGCGGTGAAAAGAGAAGGGCAGGACGAGCAGCTCGGGGGAAGGTCGGTTCTGTAGTCGCGATAGCCGGCGACAGGAGTGTTAGGAAAAGGGAAAACGTTTGAATCCGTGCCCTGTTTCTCTATGGGTTTCTCTGTTGCCCAAGCAGGGGTCCTTGGCTCCGGTCCGCAGCGAGACACCCCCGCCGTGCCCCAGCAGGAGAGCCCTTCCCGGGGTGCAGGGGAAAAGAGGGGTGCTCCCCCCTTTTCTGAAAGTAAAGGAGATCGATTCCTCTTTTCCAGGGGTGAAACTTCGATTTCACGTTTCAGTGCTGATGGAGAAAGCAAAAATATCGCTTAGAAGAGAACGTGAAGAATGAATATTGTCACTTTTCTGAAAAAAAAAAAAAACAACCCCAAGACCAACATAAGTCAACTCTGCGAATCTAGAAAAGGTTTGGGGGGGTCTTCGCGACCAAAATACTTCTTGGACTGCTGCTTTGTCGCTTTTAATTTGGTTCGTGCCTTTAGAGGCATTAATGTAACCTGAAGGGCAGCATAACTGAGCTAACGACCCTGCTCCCTCGCCCGGTTCCCAGCAGATTGTTCTGCGGCTGGAGGATGCCTTGAGAAGGAAACAGGGCAAAATACCACTGATTTCTCCCCCTCCCCAATAAAACTAGCTTCTGTGTGTGCCCCTCGATTTCTGAACAGACGGAGGGAGAGTACATGGTAGAAGAGAGGCAGAAGAGCGTGTTGGAAGAGAGGAACTTAATACGCTCTACACGGACAGTGGGTATGAAAGCGTGTATGTGCAAAAAAAATACCTGTATGTGCGTATTATATACCTATAGTATAGGTAGGCCCCCATCCTTGAACATGTTCGAAGCAACAGCATAAAAAGTTAACCATAACTGTGTTATAAACGTGCTCTGCTGTCAGGCAAAAGCATTTTTCAGTTGGGAGACGGGGTGAGCTTTTCTGCAAAAAACCGATTTCCAATGTTCTGCTTTGCTGGCCCCAATCTCCTTGGCTTTCGTGGTGCTTTTAAATACCTCTTGCAGGTGAATTTCTGCTTACATCCGCAATGACCGGGTGTAATGGAAAGGAGTTGGGCTGAATTCTAGCGGAGATGGGCAACCTCCGCAGCTCCACCCGCACCCCGAGCCGCAGCCTGGCGCTGCGGGCAGCTGCCTGCAGTGGAACAAAGCTCTTCGGTCCCACTGATGGGGACTCGCAGCTCCTGCCGGGCAGCCGGAGGCTTTGCAGAATTGTCTGGGCTACTGCGATTTTTTTGATTTACTGTGCCCGCTGAACCAAACGTTAGTAACCCGTAAAATCAAGGACGTGCAAGAATTGCATGTGGCGCTGGGGAGTTTAGCCCCCTCCTCTCCTCCCCTCCCCCGAATAGGCGCACGCTTCACGTTGCTTACGCTAAAATACAAAATACTCCCAGGCGAAGCTGACGCTAGCAGAGGGTATGCGGAGGAACAGCATCTCTGACGCTGAAACAACTGGGAAGGTTGCTTAGGGAGCATCCCGATTTGCCAATACGCTTTTATTTTTGTCGGTGTGAACAAAGTTGCCTTGTGAGAAGCAGACCTTTGAGAAAGCCCCTCAAATAGCAGCTAACACGAGAGGTGATTACGGGTGAATTGCAAAATCGTTTCTGGGTTAAAGTCTGACTTTTAATGATGAGTAATTCCCCCTCTTACCACCCCAATTCTCAAAAATAAATGCTTTAATGGGTGGGGGAAGAACGCCGACAACCTGACTGCGGTTGCCATCACCTTTGCTCCCACTTAAACGTTCTTAAGATAGTTTTGATGAAAGAGAAGATTGCTTTATTGGGTGTATCGTTTTAATTTAATTAGGGCTCAGGTCCGTTCCCCCCCGGATGCACAGTAAAAATAGACGATATAGTGTTGTCTGGCGCAACGAGAACAAGGAAGACACAATTAAAATAACACGTTTGTGTACTTTATACACAGTCAGCTTCTCTGTGTGTGTGTAGGTATGTCGATATATATAAAAAAAATGTCATTTCTACCTATATATAAACTATTGTAACGTCTGATACAACCGTGAACTGCAGAAATGCAGGGGGAAAAAAGGGGGGAGATGAATCACACGCTACAATAAGAGGGAGGGGGGAGAGAGGTAGAAATGGAAGGTTTCTCCCCATCTCCCTCTTGCTTTGGGTGCAGTAGTACGTGTTTCTCACATGTTCCCTCTAATTACCAGTAAGAAAGTTCTTCCGTGCTCTTGCTGGATTTGGTTTAGTAATCAGCCCCCATATGAGTCACACGGAACACGCAATCCCACTGCCGCGTGAGTGACAGCTAGCCGGCGCTCTGGCTTCTTGTTGTCCCTTTAAAATCTGAAACCAAGGGTAATGATTTATCAAACTCTTATTATCAAGAAAATGTCAAACGAAGGGCACCTTGCTATGCACTGACGCAAACCCAGTCTTTCCCAAGGAAGTATAGAAAGCTTTGCTCTCGACTGGGCAAAATCCAGTCTGTCAATTGCCTGTACCGCTGTTTTTACCTCTACCGAGTCAATCCGTGGCTATTTAAGACATGGTAAGTGCTCCATTTCTTTTCGTTGCTCTCGACAAGGGCTGAAGGGGAGGGTTCTCCGTTAAATTTGGGGGTCGGACCCCCCTCGTGCTCGCGTCGGTTCTCTCCGTCGGTGCCGGAGGGGGAGCTGTCCGCGGTGCTGACGGCGCTGTCCGCGGTGCTGACGGCGCTGTCCGCGGTGCTGACGGCGCTGCCCGCGGTGCTGACGGCGGGGCTGCCCGCGGAGCGGGGTAGGGCTGCCGCCGGGGAAGGGGCGGGGGGGGCGGGAGAAACGGTGGTACCCCGAAGAGCAGCCGGATAGTGACCGAGTCCTTGCAGATCTTATCCCTCATGCCGGGAGATGGGATTAAGACGAAGCGAAAACTTGCAACGGAAACGGTGACGGGTAGTTTCGCGAAACCTTCTTCTGAAGAGAAGGTGTATTTTTAAAGCTAGCGTTAAACAGGTGGAAAAGGTAGGGTTTGTCTGCGGGTTGTTTAAGGTACAAAAAGAAGACGCATTTTAAATGATAATTTTAAACTGGAGGGTAGGGCGGGGGGGAGGTGGTGGTGTGTGTGGGGTGCGGGAGTGTCGTCAGTAATCTGTTTAATAAATAGGGAATGCTTAAAAACATCTTTAGACACGTGTGAGTTGAAAACGTAAGAAAAAGAATAGGGAAAGCTAGCCGTTATTGGCATTAATTCCGCTGTGGTGGCGTGGTTAGGTTTGCGTTTCACTGTCTCGCTGTCAGGTTTTGAAGGGTGGCAGCCAGCTCACCAGCACTATTTCGCTTGTTTTTTAACATCTCCGGCTGCCTACAGGGCAGCTTGTCTATTGCCTATATATATTAAAAAAAAAAAAAAAAGAGCTGATGTGCATTGTTGAATGACAGAAAGGAAATGGGGCGTAAAATTAAAGAATCTTTCTACACTGGTGATAGGGAAGGGAGCATCCTACAGTCGTGATGTGAAATCTAACGAGGTCTGGCGGTGCAGTGCTGTAGAAGCACTTATTTAAACTCGAATTACGGATTTGCAGATGCTGGTGTGGTTTTTTGTTTGTTTGTTTGTTTTGAGTTTTTTGTGTACCTTGCTGTTTTCTCCCCCAGAATATTAATGTTGAATGAGAGGGCAAGCAGGCGAGCTGGGGCACCTCGAAATTCTGCAACACTTTTGTATCCAGATTTTCTAGCACACGCCTTTTGTGCACGAGGAAAGAAATTTGTAGAACCTCTGCAGTCCCAGCATTTTTTTTTTCTTTTGGTAAAATATGTGACATTCTCATTTTAGGATTACACCAGTCAAAGGGATATGAGCAAACAGGTTGTGAACAGTTCTGAAACCGTTACTCCTGGACCCAGTGAAGGTACGGGAGTTGTAGGAATCAGCCCCGAAAATGAGCCGCAGAATGCCCCATCGCAAGCCCCTGCTGCGATGGCCAGGCTTCCCCGATCGCTTTCTAACGACAACAAAACACTTTCCTCCGAAGAAGCTAAACCAAATGATTTTGAGAGGACCAAAGTTGGGATCTGCAAGCTCAGCAGCACCCCGGTGCAAGCCAACTCCACCCTCCGGAGGGAATCTGTGGAAACCTTTCTGTGCAAGCATACTCCTGGGGCAGGGGCTGCTGGGCAAGCTGCTATCCCTCACTGCAAAATTCCCGCTTTGCAAAGCACAGATGGAGACGCTAATCTAAACCTTGGTAAGAGCACACTGGAGCAAAACAACGCCAAAGGCGCCTGGGTGACCTTGAGCCAGAGTACCGTGGTACTGGGCACAGATGGGAACACTTCTGTTCTTCCTGGCAGAGTGGAGGGGGTAAGTTGGCTCCTTGTAGGGTTTCTTTCTCCTGCCTTCAACTTATGGGAGCGAGAGGTCTTTGCCACTCATTGCCGATTTGGGGCCGAAGCTCTAAAATCGGGTCCAAATCAGCTGGGGCTGGGGCTGGGGCTGGGGCTGTACTGCAGGGAGGGGAGGCAGGGTCTTAGATAAAGTGCTGTACTGCTGGTGAGTCCTAATAACGTAATATTGGTATAAATGACAATCAATAGTTCCCGGCTAATTCCATAGTGTTCGCTGAGCCTTGCCTGTCAGTATAACCCGGTTCTGGCCCGCGGTACGCGTGAGCGTACACCAGTTATGCCTCCCTGCACGAGGCCAACTCCTGTCCCCAGCACCAGATGCGAAAGGATGCCTTGCTCTTCCCCTCCTCAGGCTTGGCCGGCTGCTCAAGCCCCTGGCAGCTGAATGCTTTCGAGCCTGTAACCAAAAATAAGGCGAAATCAATCAACCCAACCCCACAAGACATCAAATCCTCCCAAACCCTGGCCCTGCGCCCCGGGAGGGGTTTGCCGTTAGTGGGGTGTGCGGCCGGGAAGGTGTCGCCCCCCCACCCCGGCACTCTCCCTGCCCTCCCGCGTACCTGGGTTTAGCCTGAAAGGAGGGGAGGGGGGCAAGTTCATTCCATAAAAGTGGTTTTTTTACATCGTTTGCGTGCGCCGGGGAAAAGGCCTGGGCCCCTGCGGGCTTTGCGGGGGACCGGCGGTCAGTCCTTACCCATCCAAGGGTACTGAGGGCTCCGCTCCCCAACGAAAGAGGGCGATGGGGCCTCCCGCGCACCGGGGAATTAGGAGCCACGCGACCCCCCCGCTCCCCCCCCGAGGCCCTGTGTAGATTCTAGCACGGGAGATGCGCATTGCAGTGGCTGGAGTCTCCGGGAAGGGAGCCGTCGAGCCAAGCCCTGTGCATTTCACCCCCGGGGGGAGCAAGCAGGCCGAGGGTGCCCGGGCAGTGGGGACTGAC